CCATTTTTTTAAATTGAATTATGTGACCTTTTGGTGTCCAATTTCTTGAGTTCTTTGTATATTTTGGAGATCAGACCTCTGTCTGATGTGGGGTTAGTGAAGATCTTTTCCCATTCTGTAAGCTGTTGTTTTGTCTTATTGACCGTGTCCCTTGCTTTACAGAAGCTTTTCAGTTTCAGAAGGTCCCATTTATTGTTTCTCTCAGTGTCTGTGCTGCTGGGGTCATATTTAGGAAGCGGTTCCCTGTGCCAGTGTGTTCAAGTGTACTTCCCACTTTCTCTTCTATAAGGTTCAGTGTGGCTGGCTTTATGTTGAGGTCTTTGATTTATTTGGACTTGAGTTTTGTGCATGGTGATAGATATGGGTCTATTTTCAGTCTTCTATATGTTGATATTCAGTTATGCCAGCACCACTTGTTAAATATGCTTTCTTTTTTCCATTTGGTATTTTTTTGTTTCTTTATCAAAGATCAGGTGTGTTCGAAGATGTGTCTACATGAGAAGTAGAAAGTAGAAAAAGACAAGATATCCTGAGTAAACGGGGAGCATGGGGACCTTGGGGGAGGATTGAACAGGGGAGGGAGAGGAGCAGAAAAAAAATGTAGAGCTCAATAAATATCAATAAAATAAAAAAAACTTTAAAAAAAATAAAAAAATAACCTTTAAAAAAAAAAAAAGAACAGCAAGGTGGGGCTTCCTTGTAAAGAAGTATAAGCAGAGTTCCCAGCTGGTAGAGGAGGAAGTTCTAAGAAATGCAGGCAGGAGAGGGGTCAAAGAAATAGCAAGGAGTCTGTAATCCCAGGATGGTGTTCCAGGATTCCTGGCTGAAGGATATCAGCCTTGCAGACAGAATCCAGTGTGTCCACAGCTGAGGATGGGCGGTGTGAAAAGCGTGTGTGTGGGTTGACACTCAGAAAAGCTCAAGATCCTCTCCCCCTGCCATCTGGAGGCCTCTCTTACTCCATGGTCCTCAGTACCCCGGCTGGGGGAAGTGGGTGGGAAGTGGCAATAACCTTCAGTTATTAATGCGTGGTCACAAGGCTGGGCAGGAAGGAAAGTTGGTGGTCAGTTTTGCAGCTAGTAAGCTGCTAGCTAAGGGAGATACTCGCTGGACTGGTTTCTTGCTAGTGGTCAAATAATCCTAGAGCTTTCGCTCCAGGTGGATAGAACACCTCAAGATCCAGGGCAGTATTTGTTAAGAAAAATCCTCTCAAGCCAAATCAAACTGAGTTAAAATGCCCATGTTTTAAGAAATGCAGCACTCTCGGGCGGCCGAGAGCATGGCAGGGGAGACACAAAACCGGAGAGCACACTTAAATACCCTGTGGGAGTCGTCCTGACCCGCATGCTGGGATTTGGAGTCCAGACCAACGCAACTCCCAGGCGAGGTGGGGGGGGGGTCGCTAGGATGGATGCCAGGGGCTGGGGTGACTCCCAACTTAATATTACATTGTCTCAAGCCTGGACAAAATATCAAAGTTAAAGTTGTTCACTGGGTTCTCCCAGCATTCCTCTGCCCCTACCTGTTATAGGCTCCTCCTGGCTGGCACACCCAGACCCCTACCTGAAACTTCTGCCCAGGAGCTGGGCTGCCCTTCCCTCGGCCACTCTTCACTGTGTAATCCAGTAACTTTGGCTGCCCGGGTTCTTTGCTCCTTTGGTCTCCTCATTTCCTGGTTCTCCCCATCTTCCCTCTCTCTTCTCCACTCCACGCTGGTCCAGCTCAAGGTCACGTTCCCTCTGGGTCCCTCTGGCTACCTCCTCCACCACACCTAGGAGCAGCCACGCCCTTCTTTTTTTTTTTTTTTTTTTTTTTTTTGTTTTGAGGCGAAGTGTTTCTGTGTAGCCCTAGCTAACCTGAAACTCACCACGTTGACCAGGCAGGCCTTGAACTCAGAGATCTGCTTGACTCTGCCTCCCAAGTAATGGAATTAAAGGCGCGCATGCCCCCCAACTATTTCTTTTTTGTTCAGGGAGGACTCTGAGGCTTGGCTGACACTTCCGGGTTCTAGGACCAGGCACGGGCAAGCCCTCAGCCAGAAGTGCCTAGTGGCCCCGGGGGATCTTAAAGGACCCTGCGTGCCCCACGTGTGGCATGGTTGCATCACCCACGTGAAGCAACTGCGTGAGCCTTTGCGCTCATGTGTGAGCTCTGTCATCTGCGGACGAAATAGTCCCGTCATCCCCCTATGCGCCTGCACTAGGCAGCCCTTAAAAGCTGGACGCACCATCTTCAAGCTCTCTGTGCACACTGATCCCCAGGCCTGTACAACCTCCCCCCACCAATAAACTCCTAAGCGGGTTTGTTCCGTGTTCTGCGTTTCTTTTTCACTTGCACCAGGTAATTTTAGTAGGGGTTCACACTGTTATGGTTTTCTGTCTCTTTAAGAGACAAGCCACGCCCACTCCATCCCCCGTCCGCTGAGGCAGGCTGATCTTCAGCTTCTGCCCCGAACTCGCTCTTTTCCACCTTCCTCTCGAAGACGCAGCTTCGCTTCTGCCTCTCTCCCCACTTCTCTGCTTCCCCCTTGTCTGTCTCTCTTTTCTCTCTCTCTCCCTCTCTCTCTTTCCCCCCCCTTCACCCTTCCTTCTCCATAACCCCCTGTTTTGCCTGGGACCGGCTGCTCTCAGGGCCTACTGTCTGCCGCCACATGGCCCGCTACCACCATTTGGGACCTACAGCATTTCTGCTGCCTACTGCCGCGGGGATCTTGCAGCATTTTTTTTTTTTAAAAAGAATATTACACACAGGCCCTGAGCTCAGTCTTCAACTCAAATCCTCCCTAGAGCGGTTACTTATTCAGAAGCTGTGGTGCTCAGGACAGCCCCAGAGGACAATCTTCATAAAGGGCAGTTAATAATCAGCCCCCAGGTCAGAGGCAGGTTCCATCTGCTCAGGTCCTCCAGCTTCAGGTATTGGTAGGTACCTGGCTCTCCCGAAGGCTCTAGAGGTCCTCAACCTATTGTGATCTTCAAGGGACAAACATTCCTGGGGTGTCACAGGATTCAGGTACACTTCTGAGGCCATGAAGAAGGCTGCCAGACAAGAGGCCTCCAGGAAGCTGGTCTCTTTGGAGGGCATTCCTCTTCGGCTGATTTTTCTCCAGAGGCCAAATTGCCTTCTTTCCTTCCTCCTCGTCCTCTTCCTCCTCCTTCCTTTTTTCTTTCTCCCTGTATTCACCAAGGTACTGGCCTTTATTTTCTTACCTAAAGTTCTGTTGAGAGCCACAGGCTGGCATCTCCTAGCCTTCTCTGGGGCCACACGCACGGGTACCTGATCAACAGTCTGTTTTCTCCTGCTCAGATCTCCCCACTCCCTTTTCCAAAGGCAGCACCACCCTGGGCTCCTGAGTGGGGGACGGATGTGGAGGATTCTGTTTGGGCTGCAGAGGGAGGGGTTAAAAGAGCTCAGATCCTGAAAGGACCACAAAGACCATAAAAGGAGTGGGAGGTGAGCGAGGAGAGAAGGGAAGGGGCCTGGGCTTTCGAACCACTGAGGCTCCACGAGACGGTTTTGTGAGTGGAAGTGGAGGATGATTGGGTTGGTGAGGTTCAGGGAACTAGTAGCTCGAGGAAGTCGGAAGCCTGTGTCTTGTGATGATCCTGCCCTTAGCTCTGATGTGGTTTTCTGGGTCTCATTCAGTTCATCTGTAGAACAGAACACGGATGATGGAAGTGGATGTGACCATCTCTTAAAGCTTAAAGCCACAAAGGTTTAATTTTTGGTTTTAGGACTGAGTGACTTCACAGGCTTTTTGTTTGCAGCGCTGGGGGTTGAACTCAGGGCCTCACGCATGCGAGACAAGCCCTTGCCGTACACCCTCAGAACCAAACCAGGGCTATCCACTCCACCTCTCCAGAGGCCTGACTGGCTCTGCTCACACACAATAATTAACAACTGAGTGGCCTTCGCCCAGCCTCAGCCTCCATTCCTGGGCTTCATTCCCACTGACTGCTCCACAGCCCCCGTCTCCTAGGCCACTAAACCTCAGCAGTCTCCAGGAACGAAAGCACGGAAAGCCTAGAGCAGAGCGGAAGCCTGAACCAGTCCTGAGAGCTGCTTCCGTTCCCAGGTATTCCGATTGTCTTCTCTTTACGGACCACATACTCTAAGGTACCCCTGTCCTATGTTAAAGGGTTTGCTGAACTGGAAAGGCGTCCTGTATGCCTGACGTCCAGAGAATCCAGAGGTGGACCCTGAGGCCCAGATCAGAGCATGACCAGTGTTTGTCTTTTAACTGGAACTTAAGGCTCCTGCCCTTCAGCCAAGTGCTGAGTTCTTAGCTCCCAGTCCGGGGCTCCTAAGTGTTGCACGGGGCGGTTACTGCAGGGGCCCAGGGGCCGTGTCACAGGTGGACTAATCAGAAGTGTGACTTGAAAAAGATGAGCTTGCGGGAAGCAAGGCCCAGCGGGGGGGGGGGGGGGACCATTGGCTGGAAAAGATCCAAGGAGGCGGGGCTGGGGGGGGGGACTCAGCAGGAACTTGGGACATTTTTAGCAATTTGGAGCTTTTAGCAGGGGGAGGGGTTTGGGGAAGGGTCACACTTGGGTGGGTAGTCCTTGCTGTTGGATTTACGCTTGCCCCTCAGCCAGGTTCAGCTGGTCGCACATATATGAAATTGGCCATTGTGATTTTTTTTCTTCTACGTTTCTTCTTGTGGTCCTTTGCGTCTGCTTTCCGCATGGTCAAGCAGGAGGTGGAGAGAGGTCTGGGCTGGGCCCAGCTCTCCGAGCTTTAGTCTGTGCTCCAAGCAGGCAGGGCTGTTTGACCCCGCAGGAGCTGAAGACGACACATCTGGCGCTCCAGCAGGACTGATTTCCCTGGCCTGGGCTTGGAGATCAGAGTAAGTAGATCAACAGAGGCATAGCTGGGTCCTGGAGAGAGTGACTTCAGAGAGAATAATTGCGATAAACCATTGGGATAAACTGGGCTGAGACAAGGAGATTAAAAGTTCTAGGGCTGGGCAGTAGAACGAGCTCAAGATCAGCCTGGAGATTTACTAAGAGCGAGTCACGTGGCAGTGGCCGCACCTTTAAACCCCGCAGAGGCAGGTGGGTCCCTGTTTGAGGGCAGCTTGGCCTAGAGTGAGGTCCAGATAGCCAGGGTTGTTATAGAGAGAAACCTTGTCATGAAAAACCAGAAAGAAAAAAAATTCAGAACACAAAGTTAGTTTAACAGTGGCTTAGGAGGCAGCGATCTGGTGCAGAGTAACGTTTTGTGGAGTGGAGAAGAATGCTGGAGGGGCCTCCAAGTGCAGGCTTACCCCAGCCTTGCTAAGCCGTCTGATGAGACTTCCGTCAGGACACCCAAGTTTTGGGGACTTTTTGTTTGTTTGTTTGATTGATTTTTTATGTTGCGATATCACCATCCCCGGCTGGCCTCAAATTTGGTATGTAATTCAAAATGACTTTGAATTTTTGATCCTCTTGCCCCTAAATTCTGAGGATCTACTACCAACTGAGCTGTTTCCAGTCCGAGGACACCAAGGTCATTTCTGTTTTTCCTGAGACAAGGAGGATTTCTCTGTATATCCTGGCTGTCCTGGATCTAGTTCTGTAAACACGCTGAGATTTACTTGCCTCTACCGAGATTAATGGTTGTGTCCAGCACACCTGGTGGGCACCATGTTCTAAGGGAAATAGGATAATATGGAGACAAGATACAGCTGGAGATGGAAAAGCCATAAGCTGAGGACATGACCGCTCCAAGGCGCTGGTGAGGGGAAGGCTGGCTGGAGACGTGATTTCCCTGTGTAACAGTCCAGGCTGTCCTGGAACTCACTGTAGACCAGGCTGGCTTCGAAATCACTTGAGATCCCCCTGCCTCTGCTTCCCGAGTGCTAGAATTAAAGGCTGAGCCACCACTGCCGGCTGAGGGGAAGGTTCATTGTAGCTATGAGGGAGAGTCCAGCCAGAGGAGTCCAGAGAAAGGAAGCAGTAGATTGAGTATGGCTGACTGGACTGGGCGAGGGGAGAGAGCAGGAGAGCAAGGCAGGGGCAAGAGGGAAGGGGATCGAGAGAGGAAGAGAAAACAGCTGAAACACCAGGAATGACCATTGGGAATGAGAAGGGGGAGGGATGCTCAAGAGCTAGAGAGGTTAGGGTGGGGGCTGGGTAAACAGAGCTACCACCCGCAGGTAGCGCTCCTGCCGAGCCCAGAGGTCAGCAGGTTTAGGTATGTTAATAGGCACCGCGGACAGCCTTTTGGCATGAATTTTTTTTGTACTTGACAGGAAATACATTTACTTTATCAACTCTTGAATGAGACTGACTTGGAGGGAGGTGGAGAGGGTTTGTGGGAAATAAATTTGGAACATTTTAGGAATGTGGAGCATTTTGAGGGGGTCGTGGACAAGTACAGACAGTCCCTTCCGAAAATCCAGTGCCTAAAGTCAGAAGATAGTAAGGTGGGAGCCAGCCCCAGCTCTGTGGGAGGAGGCTCCGAAGCCTCCAGGATCTAGGCTGTCCAGCTGACTGGGAACTCCCCCAGATCACGGAGTCTCTGGGTAGGGCCTGTTGAGATAATCCTGAAAAGAAGAAAGGTGAGAAAAAGCCTAGGCAGGGCTGCACTTACTTATAGTTCCACCTCTGTAGGAGGTTATTCCTTGGGATTTCTTTTCTGTGGTCCTGCCTGTCCTGAACTCACTTTATATAGACCAGGCTGTTCTACAGGCCTGCCTCTGCCTCCTGAGCGCTGCATTAAGGGCAAGAACTACCACTGTTTGGTTTGAGTTTGGGATTTCAAGGCTAGTCTGGGCCCCTAAGCAAACAACAAACAAAATTCCACAAATCTTCAGTTTATCTGCAGCTTCTTAAGGTTTTTATTTTAATTAATTAATTTATTCTTCTGTCATATATGACATTCTGACCTCAGTTTTTGGTGGTGGGTCAGTCCAAACCACAGTGGGTTCCCCTCTGTCCTCTGCTCATTCCTTTTCCCCCTGTTTTGTTTTTTGAGAGAGGGTCTCACACTGTGTTATCCTTGGCTGTTCAGGAGCTCACAGAGATCTTCCTCCCTAGTTCTGGGATCGGTCTGTACCACCAAACTAAATTACTTTATTTTAAAGCTTTTATACAAAGTCATTTGGCATCAAAATCCTACTTGCCAGTCTTGTTGGTTTAAGGCACGCTTCTTGTGAGTTCAAGGCCAACCTGGTCTACTTAGTAAGTTCTAGACCAACCAGGATACATAGTGAGACCGTGACTAAAACCCAAAACAAAACAGAATTCTCTGAGTTACTTTACTGGGGCTAGAGTGCTTGCTTTATCTGAAAGGCTCCGGCTCCCAAGCCTGACAACCTGAGCTCAATCCCTGGGTTCCTTACGGTAGAAGGAAGGCATTGTGGACTGGCCCTGGGTGACAAAAGACACCTTGCAGACTGAGCTTGAGAGAGGAGTTTGAGATAAAGGTAATGGGGGAAGAAGGGAGGGAGAGACTGGGGCTGGGGTCAGAAGAGGAGAGGCCTACACCGGGAGGCGGAGCTTGTCTTCTAAAGACCTTTGCATTGCGCACAGTGGGACTGCTTGCCACAGCCACACCTTCACACACGTAAGAACTTACGTGTACCCAAAACAAACTAAATAAATAATTGTAAAAAAAAATTTTAAAGCCGGGCAGTGGTGGCTCACACCTTTAATCCCAGCACTTGGGAGGCAGAGGCAGGCGGATCTCTGTGAGTTTGAGACCAGCCTGGTCTACAAGAGCTAGTTCCAGGACAGGCTCCAAAGCCACAGAGAAACCCTGTCTCGAAAAAAGAAAACAAAACAAACAAACAAAAAAATTTAAAGAGGACTGGAGAGATGGCTCAAAGGTTAAGAGCATCTGCTGCCCTTTCAGAGGACCTGAGTTCAATTCCCAACAACCACATGGTGGCTTACAACCATCTGTAATGAGATCAGGTACCCTCTTCTGGCATGCAGGCATACATGCAGACAGAACATTGTATACATAATAAATAAATCTTTAAAAAAATAAATTAGAGAAGAAAAAAATTGACCTAAAAAAAAGGGTGGGGGTAGCCGAGTGGTAGCACAAACCTTCCAATCCCAGCACTCAGGCAGATCTTTGTGAGTTCGAGGCCTTCTTGGTCTACAAGAAAAATAGAAGGCTATGATTGATATAATTAATGTAGTTTAAAACAGAATTTGTTAGTCCCCAGTGGGTGAGAATAAGACCACTACCACAATTATTGAACCAAATTTGGAGCAAACTTTATTAAATTCTGGTCAGCCCGATGGACACTGTCCAAATTCATGCCCAGAGTATGGCCCTGAATCACATTAGATAGGGTCTTTATTTATTTATTTATTTATTTATTTATTTTTGGTTTTTCGAGACAGGGTTTCTCTGTGGTTTTGGAGCCTGTCCTGGAACTAGCTCTGTAGACCAGGCTGGTCTCGAACTCACAGAGATCTGCCTGCCTCTGCCTCCCGAGTATGATAGGGTCTTAAAAAGGCAAGACCCCCCAAGGCTATGTACTTCTGCCTTTGTCCAGTTAGGGGCCAGCATATGTCCTGAAGTACTTCCTGTCTAAGTACATCTCTCCCTCGTGTGGTCCAGTAATGCTGTGTGACTGGGCAGTCAGACTTGTCCTACTTAAACTACACAGCTACTCCTCAACTCAAAAGTTATCTGTCCTTGGGCAAGTGGGGCTTACAGGGTAGAGGTAGTTTGTTTATAGATCCCTTAAACACGATAATTTAAGTTTAAAATTGAGGGAAGGAGAGACAGTTCATACATTAAGATAGTGTTATGACCGAGTTAATTACTCCCCCCACAAAGAAACTCCTTGGAACTGGATTCCAATGCAAAGCACAAGAGGGTTTTTAATATACAGACTTGAGCGAGTATGGACTACACCACCACACCAATGCCCGTGAGGGAGGAGCAGCTCTGAGCCAGGCATGGGGAGTTTATGTCCTGTGTTTAGGATTGAGTAAGGAGGGCATAGGGTAAGGTAGTTTCTGAAGCCATGGGTCAGTTTTGGGTGTGAAACACTACCAAAGAGCTGTTCTTAACAGACAAGGTATCTGCAAGGACAGTGTGCCTCCTAGGAACATCTATCTGGACCTCATTAAACTTTATGGCCCTGTTTCCTAGCTCCTAATTGGCTATTTCTAAGGTATCCATTTAAATTCTGCTATCACAGCACATTTCTGGAGCTGAGATTGGCCCCCTCTCGTTATGTAGCTGAAGATGAAGCCCTTCTTTAAAATGGAGTTTGTAAAGTCAGGGCCTCACAATAGCACTGGCTGCTCTTTTCAGAGGACCCACGTAAGATTCACATGGTGGCTCATAACCATCTCTAACCCCATCCCAGGGGATCTTATGTCCTTTTCTGCCCTCTGCACCTCTGCATGCATGCTGTGCATGAACATACATGCAGCCAAAAGCACTCATACACATAAAAATAAATTATTTCTATTTATTGTTTTTTTTAAAGACAGGGTTTCTTAGTAGCTTTGGAGCCTGTCCTGGAACTAGCTCTTGTAGACCAGGCTGGACTCAACTCACAGAGTGCTGGGATTAAAGGCATGTGTCACCACTGCCCGGCAAAATAAAAAAAAAAAATTAAAAATTATTTTTTAGAGTGGGTCAATGTAACAAATGCTTTTGATGACTTTGTTGTATCTAGATACTCTGCATGTGGGCAGTGGAATTAAAGAAAGGCCAGTGCTCGCAGTCACTGCTTCAGTGGAATAACACATTCTGGATTCTTCCACAATGCAAAAGTGGTTCTCGCTCCTTCAGTGCACAGTTGAGTTCACAGATATCTGGGAGTGAGGGAGAGTATAATGAAGCTGAAGTTAGGGGAAAATTAGCTTTCTATCCTTCAGGACTCACCTTCTTCTAGCTACCTCCTGTCTCACCATCTAGGTTTTGTTTTATTTTGTTTTTTGTGGATTTTCAAAACAGAGTTTCTCTGTGTAGCCCTGGCTGTCCTGGAGCGAGCTCTATATACCAGGCTAGCTCCCGTCTCCCAAGCGCTGGGTTTAAAGGTGTACAACACCACCTCCCTGCAACCTGCATCACTTTTTATCAAATCTTAGAAAATTTCAGCTCTGAAACACTTGCCTCCAAGGACTTCAAGTATGGGAGTGGGCAGACTCTAATGGTTTTTGCAAATAGCCATCTCTTGTTTTTGCATTGCCTTGTTTGAGTCTCACTGAAATCGAAAAGGCCCAGACGAGTGACTGTCTCCAGGGCGTCTGGGAAGACTGAGAGGAGGAGGTGACACACTGTCCATGAGAGCAGGTACCGCCCACTGGAGCTGAGCACACTCGTGGAGGTGCTCTGACCATAGCTCTCCCCGCAGGGTCTGCCATGGCTCAGCTGATGACAACACAGTTGCTGCTCCTGCTGATCTGGGTGACCGAGTGTGCCCGGGCCAGAACTGAGCTGCTCAATGATTGCATGGATGCCAAGCACCACAAAGAGAAACCAGGCCCCGAGGACAATTTACACAACCAGGTAGGACCAGGGGTGAGGCCTGGCGTGACATGGGGCTGGTCAGAAGAGGGAGGTGTTTAGCCCCGGTCTATGGTGGAGGAGACCGTCTGCTCTCTGGAACGTGGGTGACTTTGACTGTACATATTGACTGTCAATCGGCAGTGTAATGCTAGTCGCTCATCTTGGGAGCTTGCATAAACAAGGAAGTCAGCTCAGGGAGAAGTTTGGGAAATGAACAGGCAGACCATTGTGGTAGTTTTAAGTGTAGGTTGAGGAAGATTCCTCTGGGGTCTCAGGGAAGAGGCTGTGCGCTGCTAACAGTTGCTCTTTTTGGTCATAGCTATGAGACTGGTTGATAAGCAACTGGAGTCGGGCATCTAGAAAACATCTGGACTAGCCCTCGCCCATGCTGGGCTGTGCCGTAACAGATGTTTGCCATAACCCATTTATTATCCAAAACCCACCTAAACATTTAGTACAGTAAGTACAATGCAGCTGTAAAGTAAAACAACAGAAGGTCAGCTCCTGGGGTGTCTGAGACAGGAGGACAGTCCGACCCTGACACTTTACAGTCAGGACCGTTTGTCTCAAAAAAAGCCGAAACTAAGGACCAGAGAGCTGGCTTTAACAGAATACCTATCATCTCCATAGTGGTTAACAACCATCCATAACTCTAGTTCCAGGGGTGCAGGGCCCTCTTTTGAATCTGCAGGCACCAGGCATGCAGAGGTCACATGCAAAACACCTAAAGTAAATAACATTGATAAATGAATAAACAAATACATAGGACTGATAGAATACCTGCACAGCGTTCTAAATAGAATCTCTAGCACTACATAAAACCAGCTGTAAACTGGGCAGTGGTGAAGCACTCCTTTAATCCCAGCACTCAGGAGGTATAGGTGGGCAGATCTGTGTGTTCTAGGCCAGCCTGGTCTACAGAGTGAGTTCCAGGACAGCCAGGGCTACACAGAGAAACCCCGTCTAAAAAAGAGAAAGAAATAAACCAAAAAACTGCCTGTAGCCGGGCGGTGGTGGCGCACGCCTTTAATCCCAGCACTTGGGAGGCAGAGGCAGGCGGATCTTTGTGAGTTCGAGACCAGCCTGGTCTACAAGAGCTAGTTCCAGGACAGGCTCCAAAACCACAGAGAAACCCTGTCTCGAAAAAAAAAAAAACAAACAAACAAAAAAAAAAACCTGCTTGTATTGGTAACTATAATCTGGAGGGGTGGAGGCAGGGCAATCAGAAGTTGAAGGTTACCCTCAGCTACATACCGAGTTCAATGTCAACCTGGAATACATGAAACCCCATCAGGAAAGAAAGGGAAAAAGACAGAGAGAGAAAGAAAAACAATTTTTTGGGGGGTGGGGAGGTGGCGATGACAGGGTTTTACCATGTAATTATGGCTGGCCTGAAACTCAGTTCTGCCTACCTCCTGAGTCCTGGGAGTGAAGGTAAGAGCTACCACACCAGAGAGACATTGTAAAAAGCAAAAGGAAAGCAATGTGCACTGCTTCCTTCAACATATAAATGAACATCTTGACTCTGTGATGAGAGCCATCACAGTTCCATTCTTTTTATGGGTATTTTGTATGTCTGTGCACCAAGTGCCGTTCCTGCAAAGGCCAGAAGGTAGGTAGCATTGGATTCTCCATAACTGGAGTTACAGATGGTTGTATCGCCTTCCATGTGGGTGCTGGGAGCCAACCCAGGTCCTCTGCAAGAACAGCAATGCTCTTAACTGCTGAGCCCTATTTCATGCTTTTTGTTTTTTAATAACATTTTAAAATTTATTCTTTGAGAATTTCATACATGCATTTTGATCCTATCTGACAACCTCCCTTTTGTTCTCCCACTATTTTGTTGTTGTTCTTGTTGTTGTTGGGTTTTTGGTTTTTGAGACAGGCTTTCTCTGTTTAGCCCTGGCTGTCCTGAACTCACTCACTCACTCTGTAGACACCACCATTGCCTGGCTCCTTTTCTTTTCTTTCTTTCTTTCTTTCTTTCTTTCTTTCTTTCTTTCTTTCTTTCTTTCTTTCTTTCTTTCTTTTTAGATTTATTCATTTATTAAGTTTACAATATTCTGTCTGCATGTATGCCCACAGGCCAGAAGAAGGCACCAGATCTTACTACAGATGGTTGTGAGCCATGTGGTTGCTGGGAATTGAACTCACAACCTCTGGAAGAGCAGTCAATGCTCTTAACCGCTGAGCCATCTCTCCAGCCCCCTCCTTTTCTTTGTAATAATGTTGCTGCCCATATACATAGAGCGTGAGGTCATTCGCTGGCTCATGGTCAACCTACCATGGACCACACTCTTAAAACCGAATGTTCCCTGGGAGCCACCACTGTCAGTAGCTCCTCAGCGAGGGATGAGAAGGCGCCTCTGGCCTTCCCTGAGACAGAATCTCACGTGTAGCCTCCACTGGCCTGGTACTCAACATGTAGACCAGGCTGGATTCCTGAGTGCTGGAATTAAAGGTGGTCCCTCTACACCTGTGCAGCTATTTTGAATCACTGTTGCTAGTTTAGACCGCGCAGTGGCTACCTTGAGCAGTAACTACTAACTTATTCAACCTTTACTTTTTCCCTTTTCTTAATTTATTTTTGTCACTTGGAAGGCAGAAGCAGATGGATCTCTGAGTTTGCGGTCAATCTGGTCTACATGGCAAGTTCTATACAGTGAGACCCTCTCTCAGAATAAGAAAGCCTTGTTTTTATTCACACCTAGGTGTCAGTGGGAACGAACACCACAGGTCATGAGTGCTGCTGGAGACCAGAGCAAGGCCTGAGAGTCTCTGCAGCTGGGGTCACAGGCGGGTTTTCTTAGGATGTGGTGTTGGGCCGAAGACTTGACTGCTGAGTCATCTCTAACTTTTTTTTTAAAAAAACTAGGCCTTTAATTCTAGTACTGTGAGGGGTAGAGGCAGGCAGAGCTCTGTGAGTTCAAATCAGCGTGATCTACATAGCAAGCTCCAGGGCTCCATAGAGCCTTTCTCAAAAATAAACGAAATGAACAAAACAACAAAATTGTTTTGAATGTGTTTTTTAAAACTTCGCATTGGGCGATGGTGGTGCTCGCCTTAAATCCTAGCACTTGGGAGGCAGAGGCAGATAGATCTCTGTGAGTTCCAGGACAGCCATGGCTGTTACACCGGGAAGAAAAAAAAAATCTGTGGGTTTTTTTTTTTTGTTTGTTTGTTTGTTTTTTGTTTTTCAGATTGGCAAAATTTGCCAGGCGGTGGTGGCATATGCCTTTAATTTCAGCAGTCAGGAGGCAGGCGGATCTCTGTGACTTCAGGCCAGCCTGGTCTCCACAGTGAGATCCAGCTAGCGTTGTTACACAGAGAAACCCTGACTCAAAAAACATACCCAAACAAAACAAAACAAAAAGATTGGCAAAATTTATGTTAAACAAAAGCAAAAGATCTGAATAATGAGTGTTGGTCCTGAACGGGGCGCATAGCTGGAGTGAGTGAAGTCGTTTCGTGTGTAGTGATGCAAAAAAAATAGTGTAGACCTTAGACTAGAGAAGCCCTGTCTTGAAAAGCAAACAAACAAATCTTTTTTTAAAAAAAAAAAAAAACCTTTGGGTACTAAGTTTTCAAGGCCAAGTGTCTTCTTCCCTAACCGACTGGTGCACGTCAGGTAAATCCTCCAGGTTTCTGTCATTTCCTTCAGCGAGGTCTAACCTGACCATCTGGTGGCACAGCAAGTCCAAATGCCTTTATATTGCCTTTATTTATTTTCCTGAAGCAGTTGGCATGTTGTTTTTTTAATCATTTTATCCCTTATCTCCTCCTGGCTTAGCTTGGATAGGGGCTTATAGCGAAGTCAAGTGAACTAAAACCTGGGTGTGATGCCTGCCAGCCTTGGAATGTTAGACCCCTCTGTGAGTACTGGGTTAGCCTGGTCAGTCTGGGAGTGTTAGACCCCTCTGTGAGTACTGGGTTAGCCTGGTCAGTCTGGGAGTGTTAGACCCGACTGTGAATGCTGGGTTAGCCTGGTCAGTCTGGGAGTGTTAGAATGTTAGACCCGTCTGTGGGTGCTGGGTTAGCCTGGTCAGTCTGGGAGTGTTAGGTTAGCCTGGTGTTTATGGTGAATTCAACTCATACATAGCGAGAACCTGGCTTAAAAAATAAAGGCTGGATGTAGAAAAAGCTGGGTGTAGCAGCTATAATCACCACTTGAAAGGTAGCCGTGAGAAATAAAAGCGTTCAAAGTCGTTCTTGGACTCTGAGGCTTTGTCTCAGAAGAACAGGCCTAGGGAGAGGGTACTTGGCTCTCAAACAGGAGGACCTGAGCTTAATCCCTAGAATTAAGTAAAAATGCCAAGCAGGAGGCAGAAGCAATGTGGTTATAGCTCCCGCACGAGAAGATACAGACAAGTGAGTCCCTGTGCTTAACAACAATTAATAGAGCTTAACTTGTGATTTCCAGGCCTCCAAGGAGGTAGATAGACTGCCTGAGGTCTTCTGACCTCTGCACATGCATGCGCGCAGACGTACACACAGAGGCACGTGTGCATAGGGAAAAAAAACTGAAAGAAGCAATAAATGTTAATTAATGATTTTTTTATTTTTTGAGACAGGGTTTCTCTGTTATAGCTCTGCTGTCCTGGAATTGACACTGTAGAACAGGCAGGCCTTGGACCTGCCTCTGTCTGATCTAACTGCCTCTGGCTCCTGAAGGTTGGACTAAGGGTGTGCCCTACCACACCCAGTGCGAATTGGTGAATTTTAAAAATTTTTATTTTTATTTTATGTGTGTTTGCTTGCACATATGCATGTATATGCATCGTCTTTGTGTCTGGTGCCCAGGAAGGCCAAAGAGGGCATCAGATCCCTTAAAATAAACAACCATGTACCCACAGGGAAATTAAACCCTAGTGTTCTACAAGGGCAGAAAGTGTTCTCCAGGCAGGTCTCGGGAGTTAATGACTTTTGTAAGGATTGCACCTCTTGGGCTTCTTCCGGTCAGTCAGGGCTCAACAGCAAATTTCCCTGAATGATTGACTAGGCAATCAAGGAATTACAAAGGGCTGGACTGGGTGGTGGTACTGTCTTTAATCCCAACATTTGGGAGGCAGGGGCAGGCAGATCTCTGTGAGTTGTGAGTTCGACGCCAGCCTGGTCTACACAGTGAGTTCCAGGACAGCCAGGGCTGTTACACAAGAGAAACCCTGTCTCGAAAAACCAAAAACAAACAAACAAAAGAACGTGCAAGGCTGCATGTGGAATATTCTGTCTGTGCTGGTCATGGACTTAGCCCTGTATCTCCCGCCATACAGTGCAGTCCCTGGAAGAAGAATTCCTGCTGCACCGCAAACACAAGCCAGGAAGCTCACAAGGACATTTCCTACCTGTACCGATTCAACTGGGACCACTGTGGAAAGATGCCATCGAAATGCAAACGACACTTTATCCAAGACACCTGCCTCTACGAGTGTTCTCCTAACTTGGGACCGTGGACCCAGCAGGTATGAGTGTCCCCCAAAGCCAACAGGGCAGCTGCACTCTCTAAATATCTCTACAAGGTCTGCCTCCCACACCAGGTCTACTCAGGGTGCAGTTCTGAGGCTCCTGAGCTCAAAACCTTCCTCATCGTCTCACAGGTGGACCAGAGCTGGCGCAAAGAACGAATCCTTGATGTCCCCCTGTGCAGAGAGGACTGTCAGCAATGGTGGGAGGACTGCCGCGCCTCTCTCACCTGCAAGAGCAACTGGCACAAGGGGTGGAACTGGACCTCCGGTAAGGAGTAGTGGGCGGGAGGGTGGGGGCTGCACCTTGGGTAAGGAGTATGTGGGTGGGTGGAGTGCGGGCTGGACCTCGGGTAAGGAGTACATGGGCAGAAGGTGGGGGCTGGACCTCGGGTAAGGAGTAGTGGACAGGAGGGGAGGGGCTGGACCTCTGGCAAGGAGTACATGGGCGTGGGCGGGAGGTGGGGGCTGCGCCTCGGTAAGGAGTACTTGGGCAGGAGAGGTGGGGGCTGGACCTTGGTTAAGGAGTATGTGGGCGGGAGGGATGGGGCTGGGCAACTCCTGTGTGAAGATCTGGGGTTCTGACGCTGGCACACCCAGAGATAATTCTAGGCACGGTGGCTAAACGTCTTACATGATTTCTCTAGGGTATAACCAGTGCCCTGTAGGGGCCTCCTGCCAACCCTTCACCTTCTATTTCCCTACACCTGCTACTCTGTGTGAGGAAATCTGGAGCCACTCCTACAAACTCAGCAACTACAGCCGAGGGAGCGGCCGCTGCATCCAGATGTGGTTCGACCCAGCCCAAGGCAACCCTAACGAGGAGGTGGCGAGGTTCTATGCTGAGGCTATGGGTGGAGCTGAGCTTCACAGGGCCTGACCACTAGTGTGCAGCCTGTCCTTGATGCTGCTCTGGGTGTTCGGCTGAGTCGTTCCTCTTCTGATGCCTGGGGAGCTCCCTGCCTGGCTCAGCCTCTCACCTCCTAGCCTTCTTTGTGGTGGAACCTCAGACAGTCTGCTTAAATAAACCAAACATTCAAAATCTGTCTTAAATTATTTGGGTATGAATTGGAATATAACTATTTTGCCTCCTCCTTCCCACTGATTGAAGTTGTTTAAACTTGGTTAGTTCCCTGTTCTGACATTTTCTGTGGGCTACTCAGACAGACTTCATTTTCCTAAGCCGTGCCATGTTCCTAATTCTTGATTTCATTTTTCATATGAACCCTAATTTATAGCCAAGCCCAGGATTTTGCCTCATTTATTTATTTATTGTTTTTTGAGACAGGGTTTCTCTGTATAGCTGTCTGTCCTGGAACTTGCTTCGTAGACCAGACTGACCCACAACTCACAGAGATCCACCTGCCTCCCAAGTGCTGGGAGTAATACATTGGCTAAGGATTTTGCCATTTTAAATCGAACCCCAGCAGGACTAACCACTCAGTAATGTCCTCGGCTCTCTAATGGAAGAGCAGGAAATGAGAGCGTCCCGCAGGTTCTACACTTGATCTTAGCTGAAGGTCCAGAGGTGATCCCAGCTTGTCATATGAATCGGTGGGGAGAAGGAAAGGAGAGAGCCATACCCTCCTTACTGTCTTAGATTTTATTTTGAGACAGGGTCTCATGTAGCCCAAGTTAGCCTTGAATTCATCTTGAGCTACAGACCCTCCTGTCTCTGTAAGTATTGGGATTACAAGTACCACACCTGAGCAATGCCAGCTCACGCCTTTAATCCCAGCACTTGGGGCTGGAGAGATGGCTCAGTGGTTAAGAGTACTGACTGCTCTTCCAGAGGACCTGGGTTCAATTCCCAGCACCCACGTGGCAGCTCACAACTGTCTGAAGATCCAGTTGCAAGGGATCTGACACCTTCACACCAATGCACATAAAAAAAAGTTAAATAAACCATAAAAATATTAAAATAAATAAATAAATCCCAGCACTTGGGAGGCAGAGGCAGGTGAAATTGCTTCATGTACAGGGTGAGTTCCAGGACAGCCAGGGCTGTTACAGAGAAAACCTGTCTCCAAGAACAAAACAGAAATATACCACACTAGACTTTGAAATTTTAAAGTTTGTTTCTCATTATTAGTGTGTACTATGTGTGTATATGGTGGGTGTGTGTCCTCATCCTTGCCGGGGTGCTCATGTGAGAAGAGTTACAAGAACCTCTGGATGCTGAGAAATGAACACAGGTCCTCTGGAAGAGCAACTGGAGCTCTAAACTGCTGAGTCACCTTCCAGCCTTGTCACAGATGAATCCTCAGCACCCAGGAGTGGAACTCTTTGATAGGACTGGGAGGTGTGGCCTTGATGGAGGAAGTATGTGCTCCTGGGGGTGGGCTTTGAGGTTTCAAAAGCCCATGTTAGGCCCAGTTCTCTTTTTCTTGGTCTGTGGATCAGGATGTGGCTCTCAGCTCCAGCTCCAGCACCGTGTCTGCCTGCCCCCATGTTCCCTGCCATGATGATAATGGACTGACCCTCTGAAACTGTAAGCAAGTCCCCAATTAAATGTTTTCCCTTATAAGAGTTGCCTTAGGGTGTCTCTTCACAGCAATAGAACAGTGACTAAGACATTAGCGTCTCCCTCAATCTGGAGTTCACCAGCAGTGAACTCCCAGGCTCTGTTGAATTAGGAGTGGCGGGGCTGCGTTCCGGCAGCCCTGGCTCCCACATGGCTAGCTTATGCCCGAAATAATTACACAGAAACTGTATTCTTTTAAACACTGCCTGGCCTGTTATCTGTAGCCTCTTACTGGCTAGCTCTTACATATTATTCTAACCCATTTCTAATAATCTGTGTAGCCCACGAGGTGGCTTACCATAGAAGATCTTAACCTGCATCTGTCTGGAGTGGGAGAATCATGGCGACTCCTGACTCAGCTTCTTTCTCCCAGCATCCTGTTCTGTTTTCTCCGCCTACCTAAGGGTTGGCCTATCAAATGGGCCTAGGCAGTTTGTTTATTAGTAAGAAGTCACTCCCACATCAAGGCTCCACCTGTCCCCACTCCCCAGGAGAGACTACAGGCGCCATCTCAGCAGTCTAGCAGGAATGTAGGAATGTGTGTGCGCATGCCCTTCGAGACCAGAAGAGCGCACTAGCTCTCCTGGGCCAGAGTTAGAGCAGCTGTGAGCAGCCTGTTGTGGGTGCTGACCTTGGTCCTCTGGAGGAGCAGCAAGTGCTTTTAATGACTAACGCAGATTCTCCATCTCTTACGCTAACATTCCTAATATTCTAATAATCCAGAAGTTTAATACAACATTTATTTCTTGATTAAGCTATTGTGTTGACTGTGGATTTTAGGGAGCTCGTGCTACTTAACTGGGATCCCAGGGGGACAGATAAAGGTGTCCTATGGTGGGGGAGTTGGTCCTATCTTACCACACAGTGCACGAGATGAGACAAGAGAGCTTGAATTCTGGAGAAGCCCTTCATACCTCCGCCACCTACCAGTCATGACCAAGCCCAAAATCCAGGAATTCTAGAAAATATCATATTCCTACTAAGTTCCAGAAGGAACAGAAAACCCCCTGGTCTGTCAAACAACCCACGGCCACTACAAAGACCTTACCTCACTTCTGGAATGGTCTCCCTGACAAAATCCCCGAGGAGACAACTTAAGGGAAGACCATGTGTTTCGCTCTCTGTTTCAGGGAGTTCCACTGTTTCTGGGTTTCTGTTGAGGCAGAGAATAAGGGCAGTGGGAACACGTGGTAGAGGAAGCTGATCACTAATCTTGGTGACCACAAACAGCAAGTGACTTCAGGGCACACTGGTGGCCCACTCCCAGATAAGTCCCCTCCTCCTTTCCACTGCCTCCCAAGAAAGACATTGGGTTATTTGTTTTGTAGCTTGTTTATTTCGAGATAGAGTCTCACTCTGTAGTTTCGGCTGCCCTAAAATTCACATGAAACCCAGATTGGCCTTGAACTTATGACAATCTTCCGTCCAACTTGCCATATGACGAGATAGAGTCTCACTCTGTAGTTTCGGCTGCCCTAAAATTCACATGTAACCCAGGTTGGCCTTGAACTTATGACAATCTTCCGTCCAACTTGCCATATGATGAATCTATCAATGGATGAATTCATTTTTAGGTCAGAGCCATCGTGGTCTAATCCTTTCTCAGTATAACTTCTAACAGAGGTCCAAGCTTTCGACATGATATCTTTTAAACCAATTTTTTTTTTTTTAGTTTAGTTTTTCAAGACAGGGTTTCTCTGTAGCTTGAGAGCCTGTCCTGGCACTAGCTCTTGTAGACCAGGCTGGCCTCGAACTCACAGAGATCCGCCTGCCTCTGCCTCCCGAGTGCTGGGATTAAAGGCGGGCACCACCACCATCCGGCTTTTAAACCAATTTTTATCTACTTGAGAAAAGATCTTACTAAATAGCCCTAGCTGACCTCCTTTGTTGGCCAGGCTAGTCTCAAATTTACCGAGATCTGCCTGCCTGACTCCTAGGTGCTGGGATTAGAAGTGTGCACCACCACCACCGGGCTGTTAGTCTGGTTTTTTATGTGTGTATATATGAATGCATGAATTTATATGAGCGCAGGGGGCCAGAAGAAAGGTCAGGTGCCTGGAACTGGAGTAAGAGCCCCATTGTGGCCTGGCATGTTGGGTGTGGTACTAGGAACCAAACCCCGGTCCTCTGGCTGTGTTCAGCCAATGAACTGTCTGTTGAGCTCCAAGTTACTAGTGCAACTTCTCAGTGCGATCCCAGTGCAAAGGGGTAGCTCTGGGACCTGCACAAATGACTCTATCTAGCTCTTATAAGAAGACTAATATGGGGAGGCAGAGGGAGCCTAATCTCTGAGTTCGAGGCCAACTGGTCCATGCAGTGAGTTCCAGGGCTGTTATAGTAAGATCTTGTCCCCAAACATGAGAAAGAGGCCCCCTTGGGGAGGTTTGGGGTGGGGGAAGGTGGCAGTTGAGACCACCGGGGTGAGGTGGAAACAGTCCAGGAAGAACTCTGTTCCCAGAGCAGGCTCTAGACAAATCCAGTTGGGACATTTATGGGAGTTGCCTGTTGCAATAGGAGCGGCAGGGCTGCGTCCCCGGCACCCGGCCGCCCGCATGGCTAGCTTATGCCCGAAATAATTACACGGAAACTGTATTCTTTCAAACACTGCCTGGCCCGGCTAGTTCCAGCTTCTTATTGGCTAGCTCTTACATATTGTTCTAACCCATTTCTAATATTCTATGTAGCCCATGAGCTGGCTTACCAGGGAGGATCTTAACCTGCGTCTGTCTGGAGCGGGAGAATCATGGCGACTCCTTCACTAAGCTTCTTTCTCCCAGAATTCTCTTCTGTTTTCTCCACCCACCTAAGGGTGGGCCTATCAAGGGGCCTAGGCAGTTTCTTTATTAATAAGAAATCACTCCCACATCATTTCCCCTTTTTCTGTTTAAACAAAAAAGAAAGGCTTTAACTTTAACATAGTAAAATTACATATAACAAAACAGTTATCAAGTAAGAATTACAGTTACAATATTTATATCTATTTTATCTCTTATCATAACTAAGGAAAACTATAACTATCCATTCTTCAACTCCATCAAAGACTCCAGAAGGATATAATATTACCTATCAAACAAGAAATAAGAAAACTCTAGAAATGACAGAGACATCTCGCTGCCTGGACAGTCACCCAAAGTTCCTCTGTACCGTTGGGGCATCCATCTTCGGCCTACAGGCCCATAGTATCCAGCAGACATTCTCATCAAGCAAGAAATTCCAAAGACAGTTCAGTCACTTTTTGCTGTGTCCTGCAGAATGTCTCACAGACTCTTTCATGAAGCAGGAACCCCAAAAGGTCATCTCACCTTTAGGCAAGTTCAGCAGTCCTCTCTCTGCGGGTTCTCTGTGTCCAGTTTATGCAACAGTCCAGGCAAGAGCAGTTTCTTGCCCAAATGGCTATCAAACTCCATAAGGATTCTCTTCGATGCCCATCTTCCTCTTGAAATAGATTGGTGCTGCCAGGAGCAAATGTGTCTCATTGTCATGAAAAACCCTAAGTTATTAAAATATCTTAAATGCCATATTCTGCA